GACTTGAGCGTCTGATGCTCAAATGTGGTAAGTACTTGCTGAAGCCAACCNGGCTGTACCAACCCATGTGTGAGCTCACAACGGCAGGTTGGTGAGCCAAGGTCCAAGGATGAGCCAAGCTGGCAACAAGCTGGCTACCCAAGTTGAGTGTCACTCAGATTTACAGTCATTTGCATAATGGATTGCACAACGATTTTTTGAAAATATATTTGGTCTTGTTTGAACCACATCCGAGATGTCACACTTACCCATTTCCGGAACAAGTAAACTGGATGCAGGTCGATGGTTAAGAGCCGGTGGGCGCCGTTTGCCCACTGTAAAGCGAGTATAGCGGCTGGATTCGCGCAAGTGTGTCGGCATGGGCAACAGTGGCCATGGGCAAAGGGTAAGTGTGACGAAAAGTCACGCTACCCAACACAACCAAATAAGTTTTCAAAAGATCCGTTGTGCAATCCATTATGCAAACGACTGTACAGTCGTTTGCATAATGGATTGCACAACGGATCTTTTGAAAACTTATTTGGTTGTGTTGGGTAGCGTGACTTTTCGTCACACTTACCCTTTGCCCATGGCCACTGTTGCCCATGCCGACACACTTGCGCGAATCCAGCCGCTATACTCGCTTTACAGTGGGCAAACGGCGCCCACCGGCTCTTAACCATCGACCTGCATCCAGTTTACTTGTTCCGGAAATGGGTAAGTGTGACATCTCGGATGTGGTTCAAACAAGACCAAATATATTTTCAAAAAATCGTTGTGCAATCCATTATGCAAATGACTGTAAATCTGAGTGACACTCAACTTGGGTAGCCAGCTTGTTGCCAGCTTGGCTCATCCTTGGACCTTGGCTCACCAACCTGCCGTTGTGAGCTCACACATGGGTTGGTACAGCCGGTTGGCTTCAGCAAGTACTTACCACATTTGAGCATCAGACGCTCAAGTCTTGCTCGCACGCACAGCTACTATGCCCTACCAGGACCTCGGCACCCCCTCTCAGTCA